CTTATGAAATGTAGATGCAAAAATCCTCAACAAAGTATTAGCAAACCAAACTCCAAAAAACATATATACCAGGATCAAGCGGGATTTTAACTGAGGGATGTAAGAAATTTCAATATCCACAAATCAATCAGTGTGATGCACCACAATGACAAACTGAAGATAAAAAACCATATGATCATCTCAATAGGTGCAGAAAAAGCCCCCCCCCCCACCCCGCCTCACTCTTTTTAAGGACACTTGTCTTGGGATTTAAGACCTGTCCGGGTAATCTAGGATGATCTTATCTCAAGATCCTTAATTCCATCTGCAAAGATCTTTTTTCCAAATAAGGTCACGGTCACAGGTTCCAGAGATTAGGATGTGGACATACCTTTTCGGAGAACCACCATTCCACCCACTGTACCCGCACTGACTTATAGATGGATTCAACAGAACCTTCCGGTATTTCCGCAGAGATCTGTGCCAACAACCACTTGTTCCCAACAGGACAGGCCAAGCAGGCTCCCCTGGGGCAGAGGTGTTGCCTGCTGTAGGAAGACAGACCTTGGGCAGCAAAGCTGGTCAGGGAGGATGCAATCAAGGAAAGCTTCCTGGGAGAAGTGGCAAGCTGAAGGATGGTACGAATGACCTGCGTAAGAGAGGGAGAGAGGAGTGAGAGCTCTCCATAGAGGATGTGGCCTGTACGTACACTCTGGACAAGAGAGGGAGAGGCATGTATTGGGGAAACTGAGGAAGATCTGCATGGAAAGAAAGGAGGGTGGAGGGGGAGATGGGGGAGAGAGGGAGCCAGAATTAGAGGGTTTTGCATCCAGGAGCTCATTTCTGGGGGTAACAGGAAGCCAATGAAAATCTTTTGAACAGGAGTAACAAGACCACACATTGTGTTAGAAAGACCCCACTGGTGGCAGTGTAGCGAGTAGGTTAGATCCAGGTGGTAGACAGGGGACAGGGAGACCAGTCCAGAGGCTGATGCCACAGTCCAGACTCCAGGTGACAGTGGCTGTGACATTTCCCTGGATCTCCACCACCTACAGGACAGGGCCAGACACCTCAGTGCATCCCCTCAGGAGCTCCTCTTCTGCTAGGGGCAGCTCTTTGGTTTGGCTTTGGGAACATCCCTCCTCCATCTTGCTGGAAGTGTGGTTCCTGACGCCCTGCCCTCCTCTGGCCAGACTGGGCCAGTCACCCCCGTCTTCCTGGATTTTGCACCTTGGGCAATGGGGGTTGGTGTTTCTTAATCTCAGCAGCGCCTGCCCTGAAGAGACCAGCACCCACCCGAAGCTCCGGCTCCCTAAATCCTCAGAGGGCTGGGGCTCCAGCCTCTCCAAAGTCTGGTCCTTCAGGTCTCCTCCCTCCCTCTGGCTTGCCAGCCACTTCCTGTGGCTTGTAACCAGCACTCTCCTGCTAAAATGCCTCTTCCCCCACGTCCCCAGCTGCCGACTCCTGCTCCTGCTGCTGGACTTCTCCGTCCAAGACCTACCGCAAAGGGTGTCTCCCTGACACCACACAGGCAGAGTAAGCCCCCACATCCCTGGGCTCCCAGAGGACCCTCTTCTATGCATCACAGTCACTTCAGTGTTTTGCTACCCCTCCACTCCCACCAGTGGAGGTGTTCCTAATAGGCTGGGAATCCCAGCCTTGTCTCCTCAGCATCCTGCTCTCAGCTGGTACATAACAGGCCAGTTGGTATTTGTTGAATGGCTAAGAGAAGCCATTAATGGTTTCCTTCTGTCCTACAGGTTCAGATTTCATACTATGGACCCAAGACTGCCCCAATCCAAGCCCTGCTCTACATCACCGGGGTCGGTAAGTGATGCCCAGAACCTTGGAGCATGGCCCCCTGCCCCTGCACACACACACACACACACACACACACACCTGCAAGGTATCTTTCCCAAGAAACTATACCCTGAAGCTTACTTTAGACAGAGCAGAGAAAAAGGACAATTTCTAGCCAGTCATACATCTAGTAGTTCATAAATATTCCTTCCCCAGTCAGTGAAATGCAAATACAACTGGGAGAGAAGGCATTTGTAGGGAGCTCCAATTATATCTCAATATTTTATTTATCAGCTTAGGAAGTGGTACGTGCATTTTCAATATATGAGTCTCTATGCCTTTTGGAGATCTCAAATATTTATGAAGAAAAGTAGATGATGACACTGTCTTACACAGGAATATAGACCAATGTTCCCCAAATTCCTTTATTTACATCCCGTCTTCACCATTTTTGTTGCATCAATGATCTACATATACTCATACTTAATATTCTTTTTTAAATAAAGTATATTTTTAACTTGACCTCATGTTGAACAATAATAACATGATATTACTATTATATTAATTGCATGAACAGCATGTGGATGTTTCATTTTCATTTCATTAATGAATTTCATTCATTTATTTCATTAATACACATTTTAATAATTAATGATAATTTATTATTATTAATATTATATAGCACTCACTCTGTGCCAGGTGGTGTGCCAAGACTTTACACTGAAACCTTACAACAATCCAATGAAATTGGTAGTGTTATTATTCCCATTTTACAGACGAAGAAACTGAGGTACAAGAGGTAAACAGACTTGCCCAAGGTAATGCAGCTGGTTAGTGAAGAAGCGAAGAAGTCCAGGCCACCATGCATGGTGCTCTCTGGTCCAGCACTGATCCATGGCTATGGATACGTTTAAAAGAACATCAGATCAATCTCATACTGTGAGCTCATGAGGTCACTATATCACACCATGGGCACACAGTGTCATTGGAATGACCGTGTAGTCATGTGTTCTGATGAGCAGGGAAGGATTTAGAAATGAGCATAGGCTTTCTCAGCCATGCCATTTGGACAGAGCAGGGTATGTTTGGGGCCACGATTCATCCCCAGTGCAGTCACAATACACAGAATGAAGCCCTAGGTGGGTTGGAGTAATCACCATGTCCCTTGCCCCAAGGGGGCCGGAGTTGGGGCCAGAGACCTTTGAGAGCCTGGCAAGGTGTCCTTGCAGGGACTTCGCACCAAACATCCACTGGATGGCTGGGAACTCTTTCTGAAACCCCTGGGTGTGGCCAGGTGTGCAAGGTCTGGTTGGCATCACAGCTATGGCATGGCCCCCGACTCAAGGAGAATGGGTGTGGTCAGAAGCCCTGGCTCACTGTTTGAATTGCAGTCAAACTTCTTCAGAAACATGGGGGTATCTCCTCTGAAAATGAGGGAGCGAAGCTTTTGTGCAGATAGTCTCCTGGAGGAAGGATTGTCCATCTGGGGCCAGGCTGAGTGCCCCGACCCTTACCCTCGCCAACCCTCTCCTCTTACTTACTGGGATTTCAGAAATCTCCTTGAGCGCGGACATCTCCCGCACTGGCAAAATGAAGCCAACAGGAGGCAAGAAAGATCAGGTATGGCTCAGCCTTGACCGACACCCCAAATGCTCTCGAAACTCTGCTGGATTCTCCTCGGGCTCCCCCTGGTGGTGATGGGGGTGAACAGCAGTCTATCTCATGTATCTTATTTTAATAGTAAAAGAAACACAATTTAGGAAGAACAAGACAAAAATAAGAAAATTAAAATCACCAATACCCATTACCGTTTTGGTTTATATAGTTCTCAGCCCTTTTAAAAAGCTAATTTCTCACAATTGTGGGTTCAGAGGATGTGCTGTCCCACAAACTGGAAACTAGAGAGTCACCCAGTAAATACACGGCAGAGAGAAAATTTGTAGGCAGGTGTCGACTCTGGCTCAAAAATCTCCTGATAATGACTGATGGGAGAGATTCACATGGGGTGAATTATAGAGAAAGGAAGACATGGCTGGCGTGCGGGAGGGAAGGAGCCAGGTAGGGGCAGGGGATATATGTTGCGGAATTATAGGGGGGGGGCACGTAGGTAATGAATAATCTTAACTGGGGTACATTGACGAACCTCAGGATGTCCCTGAACCTCAAAGCTGCCTGCACAGTTTTATGCTGCTATGCACTCTAGGATGATATGACCTGTCAAAAATTAAGATCCCTTTGCGGGGTCAATCAAAAGTCGGGGGACGAAGAAGGAGGGTATAGCTCAAGTGGTAGAGCGCATGCTTAACATGTATGAGGTCCTGGGTTCCATCCACAGTACTTCCTTTAAACAATAAGTAAACCTCATTACCTGCACCCACAAAAAAGTTTTTTTTTAAGCAGGGGGAAGAATTACAATTCTGGGAGTGGAATCCAACCTACCTTCCACTCAAAATGCAGTCATTCCCTGAGGGGAACGCTCTCCTACAAACAGAAGATGTCATCACTATTAGATCCTGCTGGGAGGGGCTACTTAATTTGCTTTAATCTTTGGGCAGACAATAAGTGGCTGCTAAGAATAGCACCCACACTTTGATGAACGAGTAATTAAGAGTTCTCCTAAGAGTAACTATTTAGATTAGAATCTTGACACAAATATTTAGCTCAGTTTGATTTGCCAATCCAACAGTTTTTCAAAGCTGTTGATGTCAATTTTACTGTCTTGGGCTCCTTTTTAAAAGTGAATTGAATGTGTTTATGACTTTGGGAGCAGACACAGAGCCCACTGTTGGGAAAAAGAACTACCTGATGTGGGAGCAAGATGTGTAAATCACGCAAGGCTATCGAGGGGCTAGGGAGAGGGGGCTGTGCTTTCCCAAGAGTTGGAGGGACATAGGCAGGGTCCTAAGCGCACTGCATCTCTGCTGGGTGTCCACAGAGGACTTGGACCTGGGGCCCTCGTGGGCAGGGTGCCATCCTGCTGGTGAACTGTGACAAGGACAATCCCGATTCTTCCACTGTGGACTGCATGGATGACCAGGTGTTTGACAGCCAAGGTAAAGACCCCCAAGAGCCAATGGGAATAGAGTTTTGTCTGTTCATAAAGCCCTGGGTCCTGAGCCTTGTAAAAGCCTGAAGAAACCGGGGTTACTGGGAGCGTGTTTTTGTTAGGACGTCTGTTATGTAGGTGGAGGAATGGACATGGGTCCTGGGAGGGCAAGTGACCCACCCAAGGTCACAGCGCAGCCAGGGACGAGCTGGGAACAGTGCTGAGTCTCCAAATGCCCCCTCCAGGGCTCAGTAGCCATGCCCTGGCCCACTGCCCAACCCAAACTTTTGCTCTTGGGTCAAACCTGGGGCCTGAGATAATTCAAAATCAAAGCCTGACATCGGCCCCAAACTCAGGTCAGAGCAGCCCCGAGCCCCCGCTGTATGCAGTTCAGAATCTTTATCTCATCTGATCCTTCAGCATAGGGCTCAGAAGTATGTATGGTCCTCATCCCCACTTTACAGATGGGAAAACTGAGGCATGGGAAAGTTAAGCAATTTGCTCCAGGTCACAGCTAGTAAGTCACAGGCTCAGGATTTGAACGCGGACATCCCTACACTGGGGCAGGTTTAGGGACACAAGGATGGTGGCAGGTGCAGGGTCTCTGCTGTCTGACCTCTGGGATGTGGCGGGGGTGGAGGACACACTGCCCACCTGCCCTGGAGGAGGGCGCTGAGGGGGTGAAGTCCGCTGGCCAGGGCAGCGAATGCAGCCCTCCTGGGATGTTGCTAGAATAGCATAGAAATGGATGCATTTTGAAGCTGCCTGCAGCGGGCCTGGCCTGATGCTGGGAAGCAGCCTCTGCACGGTGCCCGGCAACCCGTAATAGTCGCGTGGTCCGTATGCAGCCTTTGTGCGCTCCCAGGGCGCCGGGCACTGTAATTAGCACTTTATATACACGAGGACACTCCTCCCTCCGCGCGGGCACTGCACTTCGCCCTGTCTGCTGACGAGGAAACAGAGGCACCAAGAGCTAATAACTGGGCTAACACAGATCCCGGGTTCCAACCCCGCCAGCTCCAGTGCCCTTCACCACGTGGCCCGTGGCCAGCTTGCCTCCCCTCACACGTTTGTTGGCCATGGTTTGGGTTGGTTGACTTCCCACGCAGGCGCAGGGAAGGAACCTTTCCACTCACGCATTCCATAAATGGTTATTGAGCACCCACCTTGTGCTAGACATTGTTCTAGGTGCTTCTAGGAGCTGGGAACAGAGCAACAATTGATATCAATGTAGTCTCTGTTTCGCTGAGCTCACATCCTAAGCTCACTGGTGAGAGAGGACCAAAACCTTGCTTTAATTCTAAAATCAAAAATGTCATTTAAATACCAAAAAGAGTGTAAAGACAATAAAACTGGGCAATGGGCTCACAGACCTGTGTCTCGGGCCACGCCCTTCTCGTTCTAGATCTGCAGGACATGTCCCTGGTGACCCTGAGCACGAAGACCCCCAGGGACTTCTTCAGCAAGCATCAGCTGATGCTCCACGTGGCCAAATCTGAGATGGACAAAGTCAGGGTGTTTCAAGCCAGTTGTGAGTTGTCTTGGCTGTTCGTGTTCCCTTCCGGCCCCAGCCAATGGGTCACCACCCCTTCACACCCACTTCGGCTAATAATTCCCAAGTACCTACCATGTGCCAGGTTCTAAGAACCAAGGATGAGGCAGTGAGCAAGATGGACAGCTTCTCTGTCCATTGCCTTCTAGAAAGGGCCCAAAATAGAGCCAAACAAGATGCTGTGTGGTGCTGGTGAGCGCAGAGAAGGAAACGACCTCCCTCCCAAGGAGTGTTGTAATTGTTCCTTGTGTGACTGACTCTGTCTCTCTCTGACACACACACACACACACACACACACACGACTCTTGTTTGCAGAAGTTTCTGACTCCAAGCTGACTGTGCATGTTATGTAATAATTTGTTCTCAGCATCCTGCTGATCAAAGATATCAGTAACTTCTCAGAGGCTCGTGAGCACAGACCACGGAGGGCTGGGCTCCGTGCTAGGTAGAGAGCAGGGAGCAAAGAACATAATAGAGTCCCTGCCCTCCTGTTGCTTTCAGCTCAGTGGGTTGAGAGGTTGAAAGGGATGATGTGTAAAATCATTAAGTAAAACATCTAGTGCATCAGATGTGTTAAACACTACACAGAAGAACGTTTAATGGGGAGGGGAAGAAGAAGATGGGGGTGGCATCTGGGGGTGTGGGGAGAGGGTGGTCGGGGAAGGCTTCCTCCAGGTGTCATGTGAGCAGAAGGAGGGGTGGGAACAGCCACGCAGACACCCAGGGGAAGGGCACTCTAGGCAGAGGGAACCACCAGTGCAAAGGCCCTGAGGTGGGACAGTGTCTGTAGGCTTGAGGAAAGCAGAAAGGCCAGCACAGCTGGCGTTCATCATGCAAGGGTTAAGGGGGTAGATGACGCTGGAGAAGAAAGGCCACAGGGGAAGGGGCCAGGTCAGGGAGGCAGGGAATGACTGCGGCTCCTAGTTTGCAGGAGCAGGAGGCAGACCAACTGAGGGTTGTGCAGAGGCACAGCTTGATCTGACTTACTTCCATTCAAAGTGATTAGAATGACATTGGTTTGGCCGCAAACCTACTCCTTGCCTCTGCTGAGGTGTCACCTCCTCCAGGAAGCCTTCCCTGACCCTCTGGGGTTGCCTCCATCCCAGCACTTAGTGACGTCTGTGATTTTGACTATCTTTGCACCTCCCTATTCACCCAGGAGGCTGTGCGCTCCCTGGTCTTTCCAGGTGTTAGCTGAGAGCAGGTGCTCAGGAATGAATGAATAAATGACTGACTGACTGAATGAATGAATGAATCTTAATGTATATTGACCTTTCTGTAAAGTTGGGGATGACTCAGACACCCTCGTTACTCCATTCCTGGACCTCCATGGGGAGGCGAGGGGAATGTCCCAGCTGAGGCTCTAGTCCCTTCCTCCTAGGGGAGGCTCTGTCCAGATGCGCTGTGAGGGGCCCTCATGGGTGACATATGGTGGCCTTGGGAAGGTGTCACAGCACCAAAGAGAAGAAGACAGGATCTCAGAGGAGGGGACGCAGACCTGAGTGCCCCCTGTTATCTCTAGCAGACAAACAGCCCTCCAGGTACAACATGGTCGTGGGGCCGCAGCAGCCCTCTCACCCGCTGGAGCTCCCTGGCGGCCAGCACAGCACAGACTTCTACGTGGAGGGCCTGGCTTTCCCAGACGCCAGCTTCCAGGGGCTCGTCTCCCTCAAGCTCTCCCTGCTGGACACGTCCAACCCGGTAGGCCAGGATGGCGGCCCAGAGGGGGAACTGGACTTCCAGGCGGTGGCCCAGCTCGGGTGGGGGGTACAGAGCCCAGCTGGGGCGGGGGCTCCAAACAGCTGCCAGGAAACAGGTGTGGGGCCATGGCTGCTGTGACAGCCCGGCCCCTGCCCCTCCGCCTACAGGATCTCCCCGAAGCCCTGGTTTTCCAGGACAGTGTGGTCTTCCGCGTGGCCCCCTGGATCATGACCCCCAACACTCAGCCCCCGAAGGAGGTGTATGTGTGCAGGTGAGGGCCCTGGAGTGCTGGGGGCGGGGCCCAGACACACCTGGGAGAGCCCTCAGGAGCCCTGTGTTGGGGCCCAGGCCCAACTCGCGCTTGTTGTGAGAATGGGGAAAAATTTGTATCCCTGCTGCGACTCGCTGAGGGCTGAGGCCGGTTGGAGCCATAAAAAGGCAGGAGAAATCGTCATTGTTGTTGATTTCATTGTTGCTCTGCTGCCCTGGTGTGGGCTGAGGCTGCTTTAGCTCCTGGGGGCCTACCGAGTTGGCCAGACCGGGAAGGTGAGAACCCTCAGTCCTGGAGCCAGGCCTCCAGGGCTCCTGAGAGTGTGACCTGCGGGCCTCCAGCACCAGAAACTTCTGGGCGCTCGCTTAAAACGCGTGTTCCTGGCCGACCTCTGAACAGCTGGGTCTCAACTCAGGGGACGGGGTCCAGCTGCATTTTAGTATATGTGCGAGCCCGCTGCTTTTTCACAAGCTGCTCTAGAGAACTTCGGCATGTATCCTGCAGCCTGAGAGCACCTACTAACTATGCAGGGTCTCAGGGGGACCCTCCTCTCTCCTCTTCCCATCACTTCGGGACAGAAGGGCTGAGGGTGTAAGTAATATAACCTGGTGCTCAGGACACAGGCTGAAAGCCAGCAAGGTCTGGGTTCAAATCCCAGTGCTGTCCCCAGGTGGCGTGACTTTAGACTGACTTCCTCATTCTGTCTTCTCCTTGTGTGTGTGTGTGTGTTTGTGGAGGGTGAGTACCTGCTAGTTCCCCTCCTGGGTTGTTACAAGAGTTCAGTGATGTGGGGGAGGATATAGCTCAGAGGTAGCGCACGTGCTTAGCATGCACGAGGTCCTTGGTTCAATCCCCAGTGCCTCCATTAGAAAATATTTTTTTAATAAATAAGTTAATTTAAAAAAACAAAAGTTCAGTGAGATAAGCTTGCTGAGAGCAGAGAGGCAGGTGAGCCGGGGTCTCCGTCCAGGCCCCAGGTGTCTGGGTGCACCCACCGTGCCCCTCCCCGGCTCCTCCAGTCCTGAGCCCCTGCTTCACCCCTAGAGAACCCCTAGGGGTCCAGCTTGCCCCATGGCAACCCAGCCAAGGCCACTGGCCACTGAATCAAGGGCACTAAGGAGCTTCTTTTCTGCTCTTTCTAGAATATTGGAAAACGAGGACTTCCTGAAGTCAGTGGCTGCTCTGGCCAAGAAAGCCAGGTGCAAGCTGATCGTCTGCGCCAAGGAGGAGAGCATGGATGACCGGTGGATGCAGGTCTGTGGCCCTCAGGGCAGGCTGGCCGGGCACACAGGAGGCATATCCCTGACAGTCAAGGGACACTGGGGACCCTGGCTCTGAGGGCTGGGCCCATCCACTGGCTAGCCATCCTACCTCGGATGGGCAAGGAGTTAGGAGCCTCTGAGGGTCCTCACAGACAGAGGCTCAGGCAAGTGACTCAACTTGACATTACTGTGGCCACAGCATGCCCACCATGGTCACCAAGATGAAAACCATTGTCCTGCTTGAAAACTCTCAGCTGACCTCAGGAAATGCTGCAAAACTCAGGGGCCTGGAACTTAAACAGTCCCTCCAGTGGCCCTCCCTCCAAGCCAGCCATCCTGGGCTCGGCCACAGCCCAGGCCACACCCCTGCTCCAGCAGGGTGCCTGGCCCCCATCTCCTCCTTCTCAGCCTAGCTGCAGGGCCCTCTCCACCTGGCTGTCCCCATTCTGGCCACACTGCTTCACCATTCCATTGCTGCGCCAGACTCCCCCATTGTGCTGTGAGCCTCCCAGTGGCAGAGATGGAGTCTCATTCAGCTCAGCGCCTGGCATGGGAGGGGGGAAGTGGGCGGGCTGTGCCGGGCGACTCCGCCCTCCCCCCTGCTCTCCCTTCCCACCCCCTCCCTCAGCCCTGTTCCTTCTCTCCCACCTCCCTCCCCATTCCCATCCCCCATGTCCAAATCCTACCTGTCCAATCCCAGCTCGAATCCCCCCTAGAAACTTCCCCGAGCCCTCCAGCGGGAATTCATTCCTCTTTTTTCTAAACCCACAAATAACACCGGCTCTTCCTTTCTTGCATTCCATCTGGGCCAAGTCGGGTTGAACCAGATGAAGCTGCTGATATGCCACCATTTTTTACCTCCAAGAATGACAGTTTCATGTGGTTCAACCTCATCGTCATTCATGTCCAACATCAATATCCATCTGCTAGAAGGGAGGACTTGCACCCAATTCATTTCTGCGCCCTCACTCTCTCTGCCCCGTGGGCTGGGCTGGGGCCTTATCTGCCCTCCTTTGGGGCAGGGCTACTCCCACCTTCCCCCAGGCCTCAGCTTAGCAGTGCTCTCTTCCAGAAGTCCCCTCTGACTTGTTCCTGTCCCCACTGCATCAGGAGTGCCTCCTGTGTTTCCGCAGACCCCTCCCTCCCCTCCCATCCCCTCCTAGTACTGGGCAGGGCGTGCCCTGCTCCTGGGTCTCCCCGGGAGGACAGGGCCCGAGGCTTGTGCACCAGGGTTGCTGGCACCCAGCCCAGGCACTCACCAGGAGCGGGAGTGAAGGGCGTGCCGGCGATTCCACTACATGTTGGTGCAAATACAGGACAATAAGCTCTGCTTCCTGGAGCCCCTCTTCTGGGGTTGAATAGCCCATGCGAATTTGCCCTTGACCACAAGGAGGGGAGAGTGTGGTTGGTCCCACACTCCCCATCCCTGCGCTGGGTGTCAAGACCCCTGCAGCATGTGTAACAGCCTCCCTTCCACTCACTCTGCGCAGGATGAGATGGAGATCGGCTACATCCAAGCCCCACACAAAACGATGCCCGTGGTCTTTGACTCCCCGAGGAACCGAGGCCTGAAGGATTTCCCCGTCAAGTGCATGCTGGTACGTGCTGGGGGCACCAGTGCTGAACCCCCTGCGCTGAGGCCTCCTTCCTCATTGCCTGTCTCCTGCCTCCGCCCCTACTGCCGAGCATCTGGCAGGCATGCGACCTGCTCTAGCAGCAATCTCACAGGTGGCCAGGGCATTTTGTTATGTGATGTGATCTGGCTCTGCCTTTCCCAAAGCCCTCTCCAGCCAGGAACTCACCTTGTCCTCAAGATAACCTTGCCAAGGAGGTGGGCCAGGCGTGGGCGTCCCTGTTCCACTGAAGGTGCTCTTGCTGCAAGGTAGGGGTGGGGCCAGGACCAGAACCCTCCGCAACAGCCAGCTGGAGGCTGTGTCTTCTGGGTGGGGGTCTGGCCTTTCAAGGGGGCTCATTCTGGGACGTGGGGGGGTTTCAGGATCAGAGTGGTCATTTCCTAGGTGTGAATTAACAGGCAAAGTTCTCTACATATGTTTGGGGAGGGGGCGGGGTGAGGGTGACATATTGGTGAGTCACGTGTCTTACTTGGCAGTTTCATGCAAAGTCAGCGCAGAATAATAACGATCATGATGGTTACATTTCCTGAGCACACATTCTGTGGCCGTCACGGTGCTAACTTCTACGTGAACTGACTCATTTAATTTGTCTGACAGCCTCTAATGTGGATGCTATCAACAGGCCCATTTTTTAGATGAAGAAACTGAGGCTCAGGGAGGTGTGGCAGCTTTCCCGAGGTCACACAATAAGAGAGTAGAGAAGCTGGAATTCAAACCAGGCTGGTCTGGCTCCGTGAGCGCCTTGCTCCTGGCTTTCCCAGGAAGACCCCAAGCCTGCATTCTGAGCCCTGACAGCCTCCTGACCTCAGATGCCCAGGGAAAATGGAGGCAAGAGTGTGGGGTGTGAGGTTTGCTGGGGTGAATGACTTTCCAGTGAGCACCCTGCGCCCCAGGGGGAAAGGAGGCAGCCCTGCCCATGCAGGAGGCTTTGAAGGGAAATCTGGGTTTAACTCAGCATCTTGTCCAAGTCTCGCTTACTCTCCTGTGCTGAGTGGTGCTGATGCAGAGATCCAGCTGGGTCACGGTGTCTCTCTACCATGGAATCAGGTCAGTCCTGTTTCAGGAGCACTGGGATGAATTTTCCAGCTGCTCTGAGACTTCGGCTCTTCTCGCTGGTAACTGTCCTACTCTGTTCAGTGGCCGCGTCTCCAAGGCCAGACTCTCTGACATCACAAGCCAAACCACCAGGCAGACATACAGACACCTCAGCAGAGGTGTCTTCACCCTTCCCACAGACAGCCTCGGATGGAGGGGGGCTCTTAGCCTCACACGTCTGGGGTATTCCGACACAAACTTCTCAGGAAAAGAACTGGAATAAAAGTCAAACTCCTCACCAGGCAACGGCCCCATCTATTTCTCCAATCCCATCGTGGGCCACTTTCCCTCTCCCTCCCCCAGCTCCAGCCCTGCTGGCCTCCTTCCTGTTCTTCAAACATGCCCAACTTGTGCTCACGCTGCACTCTTTGCATATGATGTTCCCTCTGCCCACAATGCTCTTCCTGGCTCACGCGTCTGGCTGCTTCTCAACCTTTGGGTCTCAGCTTCAATGCCCTCCTCGGTGAGGCCATCCTGACGCGGAAGGACACAGCCCAGGCCCCCGGCAGGCTCTGCTGCTGCACCTGCTGGTTCCTTCTGGAGCCTCTGTTATAAATCAAAGACCTGTTTACTTTTTATGCTCTGCCTCCCTGCTAGATGGAAGCACCATGAGGGCAGGGCCTTGGGCTGTGGTGCCCATCACTGTACACCAGGCACTTAGCTTGGCACACTTGGTACATTTTATACTGACGCTGTAAGTGGAACACCAGTTGCACTTGACGTAACTAGAAGGCAACCTTGAAGTTAAACCGAATGAAAATAAAAGGATGCTATCAAAGCCAGCCCCACGCAAATGACTGCAAAAACTCTGAACAAAGGTTTCGCTCTGCAGTTGTTAAAATGAGAGGTTAGCAGAGGTTAAGGCTGGATTTGCACCATCTACTCTGGGACTTTCATCTTTGACGGACCTGAAAGACTGGAGGAGAACTTGGACAACTTTCTAAGTCTGTGCTGGAAACTGCAGCAAGTAGCACCTGTGAGCATCTCCCATATATCCAGCCCTGGGGGGCCCTTCTGCAGACAATGGACACCCCTTCACTTGTCTGCAGAAATCCAAGCCTGCAGCCTATGTAGCTGACTTCCTCTCATGGTGACAGCCAGGGCAGTGGCTTGGAGGAACTTATCATTCATTCATCAAACATTCTTTGAGCACCTACTCTGTGCCCGGCCCTGTTCTAAGCACTTGGAATGCGTCAGTGAGCAAAGCCAAGGTCCCTGCCCTCACAGAGTTGATGTTCTAGAGCAGAGAGAGACAATGAACAATAAGTATAACGAATCAATAAGTTACATCTATGTTGGGAGGTGAAATCAAGCACTACAGAAAAGGAAAGAACACAATCAAAGGGCTCACGGCCCAGAGTGGTGGGGGATTCCATTGCAATTTTAAATAAAATGGTCAGGGTAGGCCTCATGGAGAGGCTGACATTGGAGCAAAAACTTAAAAGAGGTGAAGGAGTTGGCTTATATGGACGTCTGAGTGAAGAGTGCTCTGGGTGGTGGGAACAGCCAGTGCAAAGGCCCTGAGGCAGGGCATGCCTGGCATGGTCCAGAAATAGCAACGAGGCCCAAAGGGATGGAGCAGAGTAAGCAAGAGGAAGAGTGGTAGGAGAGACAGAGGTGACAGGGATGAGGCGTAGTGGAGACAACAGACCCTGTGGGCTTCTTGGCCATTGTGAGGCCATTTGTTTAGAATCTGAGAAACTGGGGAATTGTGGCAGAGTCTTAAACTGAGGATGATTCTGATTTGATTGATGTTATCAAAGGGAACCTCTGACTGTGGCATTTTGAGAATGGATGGGGGACAGGGCGGGAGCAGGAAGAGTGGGGAGCAGGCCAGTGAGAGATAATAGGGTTGCCGACCAAGGGAGCAGGGGAGGGGGTGAGAAGTGGCCAGATTCCGGGAATGTTTTGAGGGCAGAGCCAACGGGATTTCCTGATGCTGTGAGGGAGTGACAAGTCTCAGGTGACTTTAGGCTTTGACTTTGGTGAGTGGCAGGTGCCATCCCCTGAGATGGGAGGACTGAGGGAGGAACAGGGGACGGGGTGGGGTGGGAGAAGAAGGGATCAACAGTTCTGTTTGGGGCAAATGTGAGATATTTGGTCAACATCCAAGTGGGAAGTGAGGCTAGCCGTGGATACATGTATGGCATTTGAGAGGGAAATGGAGACTGAGATATAAATGTGGGGGTGGTCAGCGCATGGACGGTATTTCATGAGATGGGGTGAGCTCATCAAACAGGGGAGTGAAACAAGGACTGGGCATGGGGCCCCCAGTGCACAAGAGACTGAGACAGATCAATGGGGAGGTGTGGCCCAAGAGCTTATGGTCTCCTGAAGGCCAAGTGCAGAAAGTATGGGAAGGACGTGGGGTGGGTTGGTGGGGGGCAGACCAGCTGACTCAGATGCTGCTGGTGGGCGAGGAAGCCTGGGCATCGCCCATTGGGTTTAGCTGTGTGGTCATGAGACCTCGAGGGAGCAGTTTTGATGGCACAGTAGGAGAGGAAGTCAGGTTGGCATGGGTTTTAGAGAGAAAAGGAGGAAGGGAATTGGAAATGATGGTTTTGAAACTTGTGGAGTCACAGGCCTCCTTGAGACTATGCATCTTCCCAGAAAAATGCACCTGAGCTCATATTTGGCATCTACTTTCAGGGAGTCCGTGTTCCCCGTGAAGCCCCCGCGGTACAGACCATGGATTCGTAGGCAGCTAATTAGAGGTGCAGTAAGCAGACCGAATGATGACCCCTCAAATATGTCCTAATCCCCAGAACCAAATGCTACCTTACGTGGCCACAGGGACTCTGCAGACGTGATTAAGTTAGGGACCTTGAGATGTGAGATTCCCCTGGATTATCTGGGTGGGCTCCATGAAATCACAAGGCTCCTTATAAGAGGGAGGGAGAAGGGTCGGGGTGGAGAAGGCACATGATGATGGAAACTGAGGTTCGAGTGATGGGCTTTGACGATGGAGGAAGAGGCCACCAACCAAGGCGATCACCACAAGTGGACAAAGGCAAGGAAGTGGATTCTCCCCCAGAACGTCCAGAAGGAACCAGCCTGCTGTTCCTTGATTTTAACCCAGTGAAGCCGACTGCAGACTTCTGACCTCAGGACCATAAGAGAAAAAAGTGTGTGTTGTTTGAAGCCACTGGATGTGTTAGAGCAGCAGGAGGAAACCAACACCGGGGCTGAGAGATGGGCCACCCACCCGGTCTTCTCATGAAGTTGGAGATGCCACAGCCATTCACGGAGGCTCATTCCAGCCCGAGGTCAGGATGCAACCCAGAGTGGACCAAGAGGGCCTGCTGTAGAGACAGTGCAAATCTCAGTCCTTCTGCCAACTGGCTAGGGGGAGGGGTGTCTTCACACACCCCTCCCACTTTAGTTTCTGCTCTGAAAATGAGGATAAAATGATATTTTACAGATTCACTACTATACCCAAGTTACGATTTATGAAGTGGTTGATGCACATTAGAGACTCTTACAAATTCTGGTCCCTTTTCTTGCCCCCAACTTGGCATTTCTTCAACATCTCCGCAAATAATAACGCTACCTGCTCTGGACCAGCTGCTGAATCACAGGATTCCTTCCTGTGACTGGGTTAATCTTTAAACCTGGACCCCATCCTCTCTTTACCCAGGGACTAAGTCCTCTAACTCTTGGCACCTGCTTCTCCCATCGCAGGGTCCAGATTTTGGCTACGTGACTCGAATGCCCCAAGCAGGGAAGGTGACTGACCTTGACTCCTTTGGGAACCTGGAAGTGAGCCCCCCAGTCACCGTCGGGAAGAAGGAGTATCCCCTGGGGAGGATTCTCATTGGGGACAGCGGTTACCCCAGGTAAGGAGAGGTGGGTGGAGAGGGGTGGCCAGGACCCAAGGAAGCAGAGGAAAAACAGAGGCCAGAGCAGAAGCCTTCCTACTTGCTCTCAGCCCAAGAGGGCTCAACACACTTGAAGGAGTGTGAGGAAAAACCAAAGTACCCAGCAAGAAATACAAGCTTAGGAGCCCAACTGTCCCAAGTTCAAATTCCAGCTCTGCCACTTACACTCTTTCGGTCAGTGACTATTTACTGAGCACCTACTGTGTGCCTGGCACTGTGCTAGGAGCTAGGAAGGAAGGTAGCCACTCTTCTAGTGGGAGAGACACATAACAGAAAAGTAAACAAAGAAGATAATTTCAAATAGTGAAGAAAACATGAAAGAGAAAGGCAGAGGAGGAATAGGAACTATGTCAGTCAGGGTGACCAGGGAGGGTCTCTCTGGGGAGGGGACTTGTGAGCTAAGGGCTGATGACAAGGAGGCTATGGCTACATGGAGATCTAGGGTAGAGGGTTCCTAGCAAATAAAAGAGCATGAGCAAAGGCCCTGAGGCAGGGATGAGCTTAGTGGATTCAAGAAGGTGAGAGAGACTAAAACAGACTGACCAAGAGGAAGAGCAAAGGGCTAGATCACTAAGGACCTTGGAGGTCAGGGCAAGGAGAAAACTGAAGCTCAGAAAGGTGAAGGAATGTCCCCAAGGCCACACGGCCAACAAGAGATCACTGACTCAGTGTGGCCAGCTCCAAACCCCATGTTTCCTCCCAACACCAGCATCTAGGCTGAGTCAACAGGCAGTGATTTCTGGGGCTAAGCTCTGGTCCTGCTTACCTTCCTGACTCCATGCCTCAGTTTCCCCCAGTAAAACTGGGGATGGCAATTTCTAAATTCCTCAGTTGTTAGGAGATATAATAAAGGCATGCCTGGGACCTGGATCCCTTCCCTGAAGGAGAAGCCTGACCCCTTGGCCAAGTCCCAGTCTCCCCAGAGACCTCCTTGTTAATTCCCACCTCTGTTGACTCCCCCACCCCCACCTCCCCATAACACTTCTGTAACCCTGTGTTGGCAGCAGGAAAAGCCAGGAGATGAACCAGGCCCTGCAGGATTTCCTCAGTGCCCAGCAGGTGCAGGCCCCTGTGAAACTCTATTCCGACTGGCTGTCTGTGGGCCACGTGGACGAGTTCCTGAGCTTTGTTCCAGTGCACAAGAAGGTGCAGTCTTGGGGGAAGCCACATGCCTCCTTCCAGGGTTCCCAAGCACAGTTCTACCCTCTGCCTAGGGGAACTGACCTTACATGCCTGACTCTGTTTTTCCCTCACCCCCAGGAGGGGGCATGGATGAGGTGGCCAGGCTGAGTCCAAGCCCACACTTCTTGCACCCTCAGCCGTGCCTGCTTTCTTGGGAGCCCCAGGGAGAAAGCTGACCTCTGACCCCAGGGTTTCTGCCTCCAGGGCTTCCGGCTGCTCCTGGCCAGCCCCAGGTCCTGCTACAAACTATTCAAGGAAAAGCTCGAGGAGGGCCACGGGGATGCTCTGCTGTTCCAAGGCGTCAAAAGTAAGTTGACCATGCCTTGTTCTTTTACCTGGGAACCTTCCTCTGCCTTCACGTGGTCTCCTATTGCCAAATGGAATCATTCAGGTGACAGATATCTTCTGAGCATCTACTGGGCCCCAGGGATGCTGCGTGGACTGGGCAGAATAGCTCCCTGTCCTCAGGACTCACAGTCCAGGGGAAGTGAGCCAAGGAAACAATTAAACACAGGGGCTTTGAGGGGTGTCTGGGAGGAGCTCAAGGAAGGCTTCCCGGAGGAGGCAAAGATCAAGCAAGAGCATGAGGGATGAGTAGGAGTTGGTTAAATGGGGCAGTGGGGTGAGAGGAAGAGACATATTCCAGACAGAAGGAACAGTGAGTGCAAACCTCAGAGGTAGGAGAAAGCAAGATGTGTTTGAGGACATGAAAAAAGTTCACTCTGGGTGGAGCACAGAATGAAGTTGGTTTGTTTTTTTTCAGTAAAGTCCACAGACATGGCTGAGTCAGAGGTGGAAGTCACCATGGCCGAGAGTTTTCACCTAATATCTGTAAATGTCATGTCGCATCAGGCAATGGTCAGACCTCCATTTGCCCCTCAGGAAATGGAACCCCTTTGGAAATAAGAGAATTCAAGGGAGTGAAGGTGACCCTTTTAAGGAGAACCTATCCTGATAAATTATTTATTAAAAGCGTTTGCCTCCCCATTGCTCATAACAAAACTATATGTTAGGAATCATTGCTACCCACATTTTATAGATGGGAAAACTGAGTCCCCATTGTACCTTCTGGAAAGAGGGAAATGGACCTCTGAATTCATCTGCTTTTTTTTTTCTTTTTCTCCATGACAGACAAACGCCAACAGAAAATCAAGGACATTCTGTCAAACAAGAAATTGAGAGAACATAATTCATATGTGGAGGTACTGGCCTGGTCGCCCAGGAGATACCAACCACATCCCGGGCAGACCTGACACCTCCCTCCCCCCCGCCTTACCCTTAGCCACCCTCCTTGAGGTTAAAGGCACAAGGTCTGCCTTGTGCCTCTTGGACTGAGTCCAAGTCTTCCATGGACCCAGTGGTGAATGGCCTGGGATTTGGGTAAATGTGTGTGAGAGAAAGAGGGGAGTCACCATGACAGGAACACACACAAGGTGATGCACAGAAAGTGAGAGAGTCAGCAAAGCTGGAGTCAGGGAAAGACAGGTGAAAATCCCAGAAACAGAGGGACAGAGGCAAGTGAGAGGCCAAGCATAGAGTGGCAGGATAGGCAGGGACACAGAAGCAGAAGCGAGAGGCAGAGGGACTGAGCGCAGCAGAGGGAGGGAAGGAGGGAAGCAAAAGGATGCCCGTCACTGCCTTCCTGACCGTGTCTTTGGTCCTCCCCTTGTCCGGGCCTCTGTCCCACCGTCCCTCCCGCACAGCAGGCCCCGCCCCTTGCTGGCCCCGCCCCAACCACCGCCCGTCCCGCCCCCAGAGTTGCATCGACTGGAACCGGGAGGTGCTGAAGCGGGAGCTGGGCCTGACGGAACGGGACATCGTGGACATCCCCCAGCTCTTCAGGCTCCAAAAAGACTTAACAGGGACCCTCAAGGCCGAAGCCTTTTTCCCAAACATGGTGAGGAAGTGGCCTTCTGAGTCGGCTCCCCTTTGTGGGTGGCCTTAAGTGGCTGAGACGCCAGCGGGGCTCTGGGTCCAGGAGGCTTGGTTGTCTCCTCCCAGCTCGGGGTTTACACGGCCCCATCCGGCTTACAAAGCCCCTTTAGGCGTCTCACAACCACCCCAGGAGTCGGAGACTACCATGGACTGCCCCCCCCCCCGCCCATAACAGATGATGCACAGGGAAGCCAGGTCTCTGGCACGAAAAACGCACAGCTGGCAAGAGAAGGGATTCAGAGCTGGGATTCAGACAGGGGGTCTGGCTGCACTGTCCCCTGTGGGCTTTCCTCCCGGCGGTGAGGTAGGAGTGGGGTGGGGGTGGGGGCAGGAAGAGGAGAAGAAGCAACAAGCAAAATGCTCTCTGGTGGAGTAAAGCGCCAGGAAGGGAATAAAGGTGGGGCACCTTTTCAGACCAGGTGTCCCGGAAGGCTCCTTGGAGGAGGTGAGGCTGGCACTGCCTGGGCTGAGTGAGACTCACCTGCCTGAAGGGTGAACTTGAGGGGGACTCCACCTTTGTTAAAAATTTTAACTGTGACCCCAGCACTGTCTTGAAGTCATTCTAGTGTACATTTACCAGCTCTCGCCCTGTTACTCTGTCTCTTCAAAGAACACCCAAGGGCCAGGCAGAAATCTCACCTAGTTCTGCCGGGGCCGCCCCTCCTGCTGCAGCTGGGGGTTACAGTTCAGGGAGGAGCCAGTAGCCCCTGGCACAGTGGTCTTCACACTGGGTTCTCCAGGGCTCTGGGATTCTAAGGTGAGGCCTCAAATGCAGTAGTTTCAGTTTTTTTTTTTTCTGTTTTATGTGTTGAGGTGCTGCAAAAGATTTCATTTAGAATAAAGGGTTCCTTGGGTAAAACAAGACAGGAGGGCACACCTTCCTCTCACTCCCCTCTGTGAGATTCCTGGGCCCCATGCATTTCGCTTTTTCTCCAGTTTCGCCCAGCCAGGAAAGAAAGCTGATGCTGATGGCTGGGGGTTGAGGCATCTTAGGTGAAGTCATTGGCTGCCTTGAGGACCCACTCGGTGCCTTCATTGTATGAGGCCCCAGAGGGCCCTGGAACCTGAGCCGCGACTCTCCCAGGAGCCCACGATGGGAGGTGGGGGTGTGAGCCTGGGTGCAGAACAGGTGGAGAAATTAACATGTTGTTCACCCGCTGTGGATAGGGGGCCCCTGAGGAAACAAAGCTGTAACCCAGATTCTGGTGACGTGGCGATCAACGTTTAAAAGTGCCAGGCACTCAGCATGGGCTGCATCTGAGGGGTGACAGAGAATGAGGTGCCCCTTCAGTGACTCATAAGCCCTGGAGACTGACTCTGCGCTTACTACCTGCTGGTGCAGACTCTGCATACGTGTTCTCATCTAACTGTCAGAGCAATGGGAATGGATTTGGGCTCTTTTTGCTGATGGGGCTCAGAGAGGAGAAGTGAGTGCCTAAGGCCACACAGCTATGTCATGGTAGAGCTGGGATTCTAACCCATGATGGCCTGGAGCCAAAATCCTCATCCTTTCACCTCACCAGGCCATCTCCCAATATAATGGAGGAAACAGTCATTTACGTAAGGTATATTTTATAGAAAATGCTACAAAAGAAGTAGTCACTTATTCATTTATTCAACAGATATTTAAGTTCCTTCTATGTGCCAGGCACTGTGCTGGGAGCTATGGAAACACAGAGGAGGACGACTAATCGGGGATTCACAGGCAGCTCCCCAGAGGAGGTGGTATTTGAGCTGGGCCTTGGGGAATAGTTTGCCAGAGGTGGCAGTGGGGAGGGAGAGAATTGTGTTAAGAACATGGACCCAGGAGTTCTCACAAGCTTGGGTGTAAGTCCTAGACTCGCTGGGTGGCCTTAGGTAGCTCACGTTACCTGTCTAGGCCTCAGTTTGCTCGTCTGTGAAGTGGGGCTGTTGTTTCCAAAGCTCAGAAGAGGAAAGGGGCACAGGCTGCACGCCACCACCCTGACCTGGGCTCCCTGTTCTCTGCAGGTGAACATGCTGGTGCTGGGGAAGCACCTGGGCATCCCCAAGCCCTTCGGGCCCATCATCAATGGCCGTTGCTGCCTGGAGGAGAAGATGTGTGCCCTGCTGGAGCCGCTGGGCCTCCACTGCACCTTCATCGATGACTTCACCTCGTACCACGTTCAGCAGGGGGATGTGCACTGCGGCACCAACGTACGCCGGCAGCCTTTCTCCTTCAAGTGGTGGCACATGGTGCCCTGAGCCCATCCCTCTGCCCTGTCCTCTCCCTTGAGAAGCTCCTGGTCAGAGGCTCTGGTCCCCTGCAGTGTGTCAGGGAAAGAGCTCTTCGGGACATTTTTTACCCCGGGGCAGGGGGCACTCTCCAGGCAGCAACTTGATTCCCTCCCCTGTGCGCTGGCCCCTGGAACCCTCACCAAAGATCCCAAGATGGTCCTGGCACTGAAAACCCAGTTCTGTGAGAAGCTGCAATAAAGTCTAATCACTTTGTACATAAGGTCAAGCTATTGCTTTCCTCCCTTCCTTCCTCCCTTCCTTCCTTCCTTGTCATTATCATGGTCAAACTGTTACACACTTGAAGTTGCAATCAGGATACATTGAAGGCCAACATTCCTGGTGTCTAAAATTTGGTGTCTAAAATTTCCTATGATCTGAGCCTAATTGGTTCTAAGCTTCCTGAGGAGATTTAGAGGGAAAATGAGGGAGAAGGGAATGGGCTGAGCCCCCACCACCAGGGTGCAGCACATCCCCAAGGCTGCACTGAAGTCCGTTCCCCAACTGTCAGCCAGATGAACAGCCTGAATCCTGAGGTCGATGAATGTTCACTGGATGATTTGCTTTAATGTGTGTGCATGTAAAACGCACTGAAGAGTGTGTGTCTGTTTCGTGGTAAAAAAAAAAGTTGTAAAACGTAGGCTGGCTCACAGGGACACAAGGCAGGGACGAAGTGGTGTCAGCCTTGGGCTTCTCTGCAGAACGCAGAGTGACGTTGATGAGGTTCGAGGGCCAAGGCACAGCGTCAGAATTGGATTCCCGTTCGTGTTGTCCTTTGAGAAAAAGACGCGCAATTCAAGGACCCAGGGGGAACGTGAGGACTGACCCCTGTCAAACGCGCTCAGACGCCAGCAAAGGCTCGTTGTCCTGCCCCTTTGTCATTTCTGTTCCCTCAGCTTGAAAGCCCCACAAAGTGGGCTCTGTCCCTCTTGCTTGCAGCTGCGCCGCTGGACCTGGCACATAGTAGGGGCCATGCGTTTTGTGGGGTGAGGCTGTCAGTCCCCACTGTGTCCTTTTTGTCTGTTTTCTTCCGTGGCCCTGACATAGGGACTTAGATTCTTCTGCTGAAAATAAAACTTGGTGATTTGGGGTCTCTAAAACTGAGGCCCGATTTTGGCTCCGTAGAGCCCAAGGTGCTCGGAAGACACCCAGAGATACTGTTTTCACGTGTGTCGTGGAGAACACGATAGTGGGGAAAGATGGTCACTCAGAGGCTCTGCCCTCACACGCACTAAGGAGACGGGTCTGTAAACCGGCCACAGTGTGCTTCTCTGAGGAGAATCAGCTGTCCCCTCCCACCTCACGTCCCAGAACTTGCTGCAGCCAAAGATGCACGAGTGTTTCTTGTGGACAGAAGGGGACTGTGCACAAGAGGAAGTTGGTGTGAGATCGTCTCCAAACCTGATCAATAGGGCAGCCTGATGCTGCGAACGGCGTAAGCAGACGAAAGCTGAAGGTTTTACCAGATTCCTGGGGCTGCAGAAGGCTGGAGAGACAGCTAATGGCTAAAGCAGCTCTTGCATAGAGGTAAATGCAGGTGAGCCTCCCCTAACTGTTCATGGGGGATGTGGGGCATGAGAGGAAGCACCCAGCTGTAAGCCCTACCTGCCCCACAGAGCATCTTATGATGCTTGGGGGCTCCCCTCTCAGCTCTGGAGGCCAGAAGTTCAAAACCCATTTCACTGGGCTGAAATCAAGGTGTCTGCTGGGCCATGTCCCCTCAGGGATCCTAGGGGAGCATCCACTCTGCCTCTTCCAGCTTCTGCTGGCTGCCTCCCTCCAGTCTCTGCCTGTGTGGTCACATAGCCTTCTCCTCCATGTCTGTCGCTTCTCCCTCTGCTTCTCTCTTACAAAGACACTAGTGATGGCATTTAGGGTTCTCTCAGATATTCCAGTATCGTCTCCCCCATGCAAAGGTTCCTGATCACATCTGCAAACTTAGTTACAACGGCAAAGACTCTCTAGATGAGAGAACTCAGGTTCTAGGGATTAGGACCTGATATCTTTGAGGGGGCAATTATTCAACCTATAACGTGTTAGGATCCACCATTTGACAGCTGGGCAGGTAGAAGGGGAAGAAAGAAGCCTAGCGTGCCCTTTCCAGGGTTCTAAGCTTTGCACCTGCATTAAATCCTAACAGGAAAGAGGCAAGACTTAGCTTTTTTCATTGAGATATAATTGACATATAACATTGTTATTGCTTTGATACATTTATATATTACGACATGATTACCACTGTAGTGTTAGCTAATGCCTCTATCACATCACATAATTATCACTTCTTTTTTGTGGGGGCAGATTTCATTTTTTAAAAAGATATTCATGAGCATTTTATCAATTGATTAATTGATTGATTGATTTAATGGAGGTGCTGGGGATTGAACCTATGACCTCGTGCCCGCTAAGCATGCACTCTACCACTAAGCTATACCCTGTCCCCCGATTTAATTTTTTAAACCAAGTTTGGGGCGTTTTCTTTTGTGTGCGGTTCAGATTTTAAACTTCAGAATTGAGATTGTTGGTGGTGACTGTTTTATGTCTGATTCCTGGAAACAGATTCTGAGATGGAGGTTTCTGGGGGTTGGGGTGGGAATGGCGAGAGGGTGCTCTTAGGAACCACACCTGGGAGGGAGTGTTGGGGTCCACAGGAGATGATGAACTGGGATGGAGTGGCACAAAGTCTGGGCCCTCAGAGTTGTCCTGAATTAGGACAAGCAGCCTGCCCTTTGTCCCCCCACCTTGGATGTCGCTGCCTCCAAGGAGGGGCTGGAACCTTGGGAGTTGACAGTAGATGATTCCAGGAGAGCAACTTGCTGTGAGCAGCCAGAAGCCAACACTTGTAGCAGCTGGGCAGTTGGTGCCTCCACTCTGAAGTGGGGTTAGATGGCACACCACGGTGCCCACCAGTGACCC